TTTTAGATATTTGCAGTTTTTGACCCACTGTGCTCTTGCAACTCGGCCTGCCTGGCTGTACAATTTGATTTCGGTGTTTGCCTGGCGATTTGTTGTGTTTGATTTGCTGCCTCCGCTGTCTTGCTCCATCCTGGCTTCACTTCGCTCCATCTCCATCTCCACCTTCGCACCACTGAACCACCGAATCCACCAGCGATTCAGTCGCATTCCAGCGGTGCCGCAGCGCTTACATTGTTCGCTTTTTCGGCTCGGCTCATTCAAATCCTTTCGGTAAAATTCTTTTGTTTGGTGTCAAGTTTAACAAATATTTGCGGCCCCTTGTCTTGTTTGTCCCATGTTCCTCGCGTGTTGCTGCTTATTGTTCGGCGCGCACCGTCTAAATGGATTTGGAAATGGATGTGGAAATGGAGGTGGTAGTGGAAGTGGCTGCGGTACATGTCGAATGGGAAGCCATGGGGGCGTATGAGTAATCAGTGCTCGCCCGCAATTAGTTTGCCTTAGATGAGGAGTGAAGTGGAGTGCTGGGCCGCAGGATCCCGATGAGTGAGAGTGGGTTGGTGGAATCCTGTCCTAGGCAACAGCAAGACCGATTTGCTTCCCATGATTGGCCAAAAGTTATTGCCGGTCTTCAGTTGTTGTTGCTGCTGCTGCTGCTGCTGCAGTTCAGTTGTCCATTGTTGCAACTCTCTTATCAGTGGCTTTTTCTCGAGCCTTTGTGCGAAATTTTTGACTCCCCGCTGCGTGAGTCGCACAAAATGCCACAAGAATTGCTGCTGCTGCTGCTGCAGTGCCCCCCGGTGGGCGGGCCAGGAGGAGGGGCAGGGGAAGGGGCAGAGATGTGGCACTGCCAGCCAAGATGGAGACTTGCTCACCTCAGCGACAAAAGCCAAGCAGCAACTTCAACTCCAAGCTGCAACTGCAACTGCAACAAAATGAAACCGTAATTGTTTGTTTATTATGGCTCTGAGCAGTTGTTGTTGCTATCGCATGTTATTGTTGCTGCTGCCGTTGCATTGTTAAATGTTAAAGTGCTACACAATATTTATATTGGCATTGTCTGCAAGAGCTGGTCAGCCGTGGCCAAGCGGCCAAGATCGAACTGCGAATGCCCTGGGAAAAAGATTCGAAATTAATTTTCGACTCATCATAACTTCAATAAAGATGGTTAAGTCATGAAATCGTATAAGTAATATTTATTTTTGTCCAATTTATACGGTTTTATTAACTTTTAATTTGATGTGTCATAAAAATACATAAATTGGCAAAACAAGGCTTTCCGAAACATCGATCTTTAGTGGTTAATAAATTACAATGTTTTTTAAATTTATTGCAGACTAAATAACGTTTTATATATTTATATGTAATTCTTCTGTGTGATTTTCATAACCTTTCCAAACGAGAATCACACTAAATAACGTGTTTAGGGCTAGTTGTTTTATTTTTTTAAATTTACCACGACCCTGTCGTAGAAACCGAGACCTTTAAAAATATTTAAAATAAAAATTGAAACCTTTGGTGCTGGTTAAGACATTGTTTATAGTAATAATTTTGATTTCGCCTTCTAGGCCCTTTCTTACCTATTGTAATGCTTGCCAGACCAAGTTCCTGTGGTTCCCAGTGGACCCGGCGGAGCTGCAGGGTAGCGCTGGCCGAGATTACAATCGGAGACACCCTCGCCGCTGCACAGAGGGGCACCCAGCAATGTGTGGCACTGCTGACACTTCAATGGAGCCCCCTGGACCCCCTGCCCCTTCTCCCGACTGAGGGGCACTTCGAGGCTGCCTCGGCTGCCTCATGCTGTGGCGCTATGCTGCGATTATGGCCACGGATTAACTTCCTCTTTTGGCCATCATCATTGTGGTTATTGCGGCGTGGCGACCACTGTCGCCGCTGCTTTCCGATTTCCGATTGCCGCGGCTCACTCGCTCTTAATTATATCTAATTCGGTTTCGGATTTCGTACTCGTATATCGCCCGATCTGCAGACCGAACCCTTGCCGCCTCTTAGGCGCTGATTGCGCTTATCATCCGATTACGGCGACGTGACTTCGGGGCGATAAGAAAGCCCGTGGCTGGGATTGGCTTCCCTTTGGAAAGCCTAGAACTATGCAATGCGGTGGATGTCGGCTAAGGGAGCACATTTCACATTGAAACCCCCGGGCCTTGAGAATTAAAGAGTTCTCTGATCTTTGAATGATATACATACTGGTTTTTTGGGGCTATTAAAGCACTAGTCAAAAAAACTAAAAATAAAAATGTTTATTTTTGTTTATTATTGGATAACACAATAGTACTTATAGGGTTCTGATACCACTTCTTGTTATACCCTTGCAGAGGGTATTATTATTTCAGTCAGAAGTTTGCAACGCAGTGAAGGAGACGTTTCCGACCCCATAAAGTATATATATTCTTGATCAGCATCACAAGACGAGTCGATCTAGCCATGTCCGTCTGTCCTTCTGTCCGTCTGTCCGTCTGTCTGTTTCTACGCAAACTAGTCTCTCAGTTTTTGAGCTATCGGGCTGAAACTTTCCCAAAAGTCTTCTTTCTATTGCAGGTAGTATATATGTCGGAACCGACCTGATCGGACAACTATATCTTATAGCTCCCATAGGAACGATCGGAAAAAAAAACGTTAAAAAATTCTAGCTTCGGTGTTTTTTCAAGTATTACCTTCTACTCTTGGGAATATTATTTTTTATATATTTCTGAATTTGGAATTAAATATTTTAAAAATCGGATCACTATATCATATAGCTGCCATAGGAACGGTCGAAAAATTAAATGGAAATTAAAAGGAAAACAAATTATATCTTTGTTGATTTTTATTACATTCTCTTCTACTCTGGGATATGACTATTTTTAAATATTTCCGAATTTCGATTTTAATTTTAAAAAGATCGAACTACTATATCATATAGCTGCCATAGAAACGATCGAAAAATTAATGTAAAATAATAGGAAATTTAACATTTTTGCGATTTGTAAATTAATAGGAAAAATCTGCAAGGGTATATAAGCTTCGGCTGGCCGAAGCTAGCTTCCTTTCTTGTTTTTGATTGAAATGAAATATTATTATTATATAAAAATTTGGAACTCTTCGTAAAAAATAAAAAAAAAAACCTACAAGAAGCGCTTGCTTTTCCAATATTTATAATATTTAAGAATTTTCTAAAACAAACACACTCCACCTATTTTCCAAATATTTACTGTACTTTTAATACCACACTTTGTCGATATTTTTTCTTACCATAATCCTTATGCTTTTAAAGTCAATTTTTTCCGCAAATACTACGGATGGAAACCCTTCCATTCCATTCCATCTCTCATCTGGAATTCATCATCTCTCTCGTACCTGGGCAGGTCTAACACCTTATAACACCCCATAAATCAAGTGCTTAACCGCTTTTTACGATCCCCGTGTATTTCGCAAGGCCCCAAAAAAACCTTTTGGCTAAGCTCCCCTTTTTTCGGCGGCTTCTGCTGAGCCGGCGGCAAGGTCAACTCGACTCTTCGATTGTGCAACCCCATTTGACATTGAACCAAAAATTTTGGGGGGCTGACTGCTGGACAGGAAATGCCGGCCGAAATGATGTCTCAACTGCAACTCACTCATACTTCTTTTTCTTCACTTGGCTTCGGCGTTGACAGTTTCAGTTTCAGTTACAGTTTTCAGTTTTTAGTTTTCAGTGGACGGGAAAGGGAAAGAGATATGCGAGCCGAGGCGAGTTTTCCCAGCGGCGGCGGCAAAGTAGAAACGGATCCCGAAAGCCGGCCAACAATCTAACAATCCAACAATGCCCCGGGGCCGTGTTAATAGAAATGTTTCGAGATTCGACAGAACGGAGCGACGAGGAGACGAGGAGATGAGGAAACGAGGCGATGATGCGACGAGGAGTCCAAGACGAAGACGGAGCCAGCGACAATTCCCGGGAACTCCATAAAAATAGCTAAACGTGCAGGGGCCGCCCAGAACTCAGAACTCAGAACGCAGAGCTCAGAACGCAAAACGCAGAACTCTTCCCTTTACTCCCCACCTTAAATTCATTTCACTTCATTTCAATTGACCGACTGCTGGGAAATTCACTTTCATCTTTTCAATAGGCAGCCGAAAGGCGAAGGATCGCCTTGATCAGCTGTGTTGGGTCCTTAAATGTCTAATGTCTCATTCCTGATGTGTCATACCGCCCAGGACTCACCGAACAGGACCTGCTGCTGAGTTGCCCATCCTCCCTGATCTCAGATCCTTTTCAGCCCTTTGTTCCCTGCTAACTGTTTCGGTCGATGTCCCTTCCACCTTCCACCTTTCCATCTATACACTTCCCTCAATCCCATTTTTTTTTTCTCTTTCTCTGCCTGTGTGCCGTGTGTAAATATTTTCCCAGCATCCTGCAAACGTTTTGACAGTTTTTATTAGATCAAAAAACCGGCTACAAGTGGCGTGTGATAAATTGCGGCCAAAACGCAGCTAAGCAGAGAGATGGGCCAGCCCAGATAGACTTACGCGCACATCTCTGGGTTACCCACACATATAGCAGATGGGCCTTATAGGTAGGGATCTAGGAATAGAAGAAAGATCAAGTGTCGCTCTCGCTCACTTGGCTTCCCTTTTATTGTCTGCTGATAAGTCGTGACTTTAACGCACACACACTCGGGATCGGGATCGGCAATTAGAAATCTCCAAAATGAAATCCGTTTAGCGTCCTTTGTTCGTGATTTAAGCACTTGAATTATTAAGACAATGCGATTTTATTATGCACACTCGGCAATCACTTTAATTCCCCACTAATCCCATCGAAACCCTTTTCGCCACAGACCATAACTCATCATCATCGACAGTCAACAGGCTGTGCGAGTGGAGTGATTGATGAACTACTGACTCTGCAGACTCACGACTCAAATATGCAGGATCCCCCATACACCATATACCTTGTACCATCGATCCCCAATCTCCAAATCAGGGAAGCCGTGCTGGGAACGTTGGAGTCCCAAGCCAAAACTATTCGGAACTGAAAATTTCAAGTCAATATCATAGATATCTCAAGATAGCATGCAAAATTCGACAGTTATCAGCAGGGTGAACGCCGGTTTGAGTCGCTGTTTGAGCCACCACCGGCGATTGTGTCGCGGCATCGCCGAACTGGACCGCCTTATCTATAGCGACGAGTTCCTCAAGGATCCGCGGACCCAGTGGCTCCTCCAGCAGAGGCGCCTAAGGGAGGAGGACACGGAGATGGGTCGACTGATCGGTCAGTCTGGCATAAAGGTGAGTCCCTTGGCCGCAGAGCTTAAAAGTATTTTAAAGTATATAACCTTTGCAGAATAATCTGTCGGTGAGCCGGGCCTTTTGCCAGCTGCTCCAAGCCGAGACTCCGAGGTCCAGGGCGCCCAAAGGACCTCTTCCGGCTCCCACGCCCCAGCCGTCGCCCGAAAGACGTCCCAGTTTGAGGTTTCCTCGTCCCGAAAGGAAGGCCTCCTCCTCCAAGAACTGCCAAAGCGAGTGAGTCTCCCAAGTCTGGCAGGGATCTACGATCTACGATCCGATCTCTGCCAGACTTGTGAGCCTCTGGAGCCCAGGAACAACCGAATCCCACACATATGAGGAAGGGGATGAGGAAGTGGAGGAGGTGTGGTTCGGTATCCGTGCTGCTCTCGTTATTGTTATGAATAAGTTAATAACATGGCGGAAGGCTTCTTTTGTCGTGGCCCAAACAAGCAACAACCTGGCAGGCAGCGCTTATTAAATGATTGAAGCCTTTCGGTGGGGGGAGGTTGAGGTGGTTGAGGAGATGGTTGCTGGTTACTGATGCCTGCGACTTGGACTCAAGCTGGGGGCCCTCATAAAAAAGGTGGAAACCTGGTTCTCTGCCTGCTCTTTGGTGGTTTTTTCCCTTCTTTTTTTTGCGACCAGCGACCAGCGAACAGCGACCACCATCAATAACAGAGCCCGGCGACGGGCCCGGGCCATATTTATGATTTGTTAAGCAACGCCGAACGTGCGAAAGGATAATCACAAGCGCCTGCTGGCACGCCCCCCTGCCTCTTTCTGTTTTTATTTTGTGTGTGTGTTTTTTTTAAGGGGTCTTCTTCGTGTGTGAGGCATTTCCAAAATTGAGTCAATGACTTTTATTTTTACGACTCGCCCTGAGTGTCCAAGTGTCCAAGTGTCCAAGATGGATTGGATTGGATCTACCGGCAAAGCTGGCTTTATGGCACTGCGAATTGAGCTATTAGATTGGAAGAACAGGGCACCTGTTACCCTGCCAGTTCAGAACCACTCGAACTTTGACCACCGGCGTTGGTAGTTCGTTTATTGTTAGTAGTTGGCAGTGGTGAACGCCCCTCGCTGCTGCCAAGTTGATACCAATCTCGCATCGTCCACTCACTGCCGTCAATTATGTACTACAAAATTGTACAAATCATTTTCGATCGACCTCCGAAGTGTTTCAGCTGTCCAGGGGATGGGAATTCGGGATGCGAGGGACAGCTGTGAGGATCGCCGGATCAGTAGGTTGTTTTGTGATGACTGTTTGCTGTCGGCCGAGAGCTGTGAAAATTCTTGGCATCTTTAATGAGCGCCGGCTTATCAATGGCCTCCACATCCCCACTTCCATTCCCGAGCTCATTCCCATACCCATCTACAAGCCCATTCCCAGTCTGATTGTTAACCTTTGAATCGGGGCATTAAAAAACGTTAACAAGCTGCGTAGCGCCGTCGGCGGCGTTAATGTCGAAATTGGCGCTGGCCCAGGAATGGCCAAGATTGGCGAAAGGATGGTCGGGGGGCTGGGGCCTCAGGAGATCAAGGGAACTGCGAACTGGGAACTCGAGAAAAGAGGAACGTTTGCGGACGAACGTGTTTCTTAATGAAACAAAGCTTGAATTTTAAATGAGCATCATAAAGAACAATGAAAATGCAAGGAACAGCAACAACAAAGCGAGACCGGCGATCCGTTCGATGGACAAATGGAGAGGGGCAGTCCGCGGGGGGGAAGGGGAAGGGGTAGGGGGAGGGGAGCGCGGACAGCGCGAAATAAAAGCGCAGAAATGTTAAATAAACAATAAAAAACAATCCGCTTCCCCCGTCGCGGAGTCTGTCAAACTCGACCAGCGGATTAAGCGCGGCCTGCGCACAAGACGCACCAGAGAGATGGATATGGCAGCGATCCCAGGCGATCCCCCAATCCCGAAACCGAAATCCCCGATCCAACCCGCAACAAAGCCAAAATCGAAGAGGGATGGGGAGAAGTCAGGAGGAAGTGCGTCCCAGTTGACGCGCCGACTGGTGAATGCTCTGCTATAAACTATTAAAAATATAATCCAAGATAGTAACATTTAACCCTCAGCCAACAAAATACAATTTTCTATCCAAAAAAATTAGAAAAAAATTAGACACAAAGGTAAGAGAATTAGCAGCCTAAACTAAATTTATTTAAAATTTATTTTTCATCAATTTTTGCATTTTTTAATGATGGCGAAAATGATTTGATGATTTTGCGGAAATTGGTTAAAAATAAAAAGTTCCAAGCTTGAATGCCAACCGATTGGGAATTAAATTTCGAGATCAACCAACCTTACAACCTAAACTAACGAACAAAAATTGGTTTTTTGAACTTTTTTTTGAATTTTTGTATGATATTGCAACATTATGACTTTTTGCAAAAATTGGTAAAATTAAGAAGTTTTGGGCTTTAATGCCAATCGATTCGATTTTATTACGAGTTCATCGAGGTATGACATTCTGTATTTGGACAACATTTTGCATTATTTCGGTTAAAAAATTGTAATTTTAGGGGGAATTTCAAGCCAAAAAAAACCTTTTTTTGGTTTTTAAATCGTAAGTACAATGATCTTTAGACAATTTAATTTTTAAGAAACACAAGTTGCTATTTCTAAGGAACCCCGTTATAAAAGAGCCCCGTTGCCAAGTGAACCCCGCCAGAGGTTCGACCCATTCAGAAGATAGAGTATTGCGCCGATAATCATGTGGGTTGGGATGTAAAACTTTTGCCGTCGCTGCTTAAAGGATTCGCAAATGATTCTGCGGTCAAAGATGAAATGAAACGGGCCCAAAGGATCGCGGGGGATACAGGGGAGCTGAGGGCTTTTGGGCCATAGTTGATTCTCTGGTGCTGGCCATAATTGGTGCTCATCTTAATGGCATTAAAATTGCATTATCGCTGTATTTATTGAAACGGTTTGTTTTAACAAGATTAACTCGACGATACCGCCAGCGAGAACAACAACAATAACGGCCGAGACCACAAAATGATTAACAGCAAAAGCCGCCAAAAACGGAATACCAAAAAGGGGTAAAAAATAAAGAAATAAAGAAAATAAAAAGAATGAGAAAACGACGATTCGGTGTCGATCCGAAAACAGCGTTAAAATACGTGATATTTATGTGGTTGCTGCTGTTGTTTTTGTTGTCGCTTGATTGGCCCCATCCATTGTTGTTGTTGTTGTTGTTGTTCGTATTGTTGTTATTGTTTCTGCTGCGGGGGCCATAAAATATTTATAACATAATTTCATATCATTTTTAGATGATTAGATTCAATAAGGCGGCTTCCAGTTGAGCAGCTGGATTTTAAATCATTTACGATATATGGTTGTGGCTTTTTGTGAGAGGAATTCCGTTCTGGGATTCCTTTACTCCTGGATCAGGACAGTCAGGACAGCTGAGTCAGCGCGATGACGCCCCCATGCATTCCCAGAAGGCTAGAGAAGCCCAAACCGATCGATCGATCGATTGGCGATGATCCAATACTGCAACCCTATCTTCCGAAACGGTTTCCAGGAAACTCTCATAATTATTATTTATGCATACAAATTAAAAGCAGAGCGCAAAGTATTTGCCAAAAATCCGATCAAAGCGTTTATTTATGACCGCTTCTTTTTTATATTCTGCTTCCATGGCTTATTTCATCAGGCCCCGAAATGGCAAAGAGTTTGGAATGCGAACTAATGGCCCAATGTCGAGATACAGATAGGCGATTGCTTTCCATTTCGAAATTACCGTTAGGCTGCTGGTAGCAACCAGGCTTTTTTTTTTTGGATTTTTGGATTTGGTAACCCAAAGGATACGACCCCCTTCCACTAGTCCAGATCAGTGCTGCCATTTTGTCCTCTTTCCGGACAGATCTGTCCTTTTTTTAACGGGTTTATCCGGAAAAAATTTCAAACATCCCCTATCCGGAAATCTGTCCTTTTTTCAAAAATAAGGTTTTGAGTTTTATTTTTGCCAGTCGAAAGTGTGTAAACCTGTTTTTATATGCTAAAACGCCTTTTTAACCATCAATCTTACAGTTCGGCACTTAAAAAATAATTATTTTTACAAATTATCAAAGAGACGTAAAGCAGTCGATGGATTTTCTATATAGTACGATTTTTTCTGTAGCAAAAAAAGAGGAAAACACTTTAAAAATTTCTCAATATTTACTCTCTGCTTTTTTGTCAGAAAAAAATTTCAGATTTTAACGACTCTTATTCGGGTTTGAAGCAGATATTGCATTTTTTTGTATTACCAATATAGTTACTTGAAATGCTTTTATTATTTTTATAATTTTAGATTATTACGTATACGCACAAAAATTAACCATGGTAAAATGATTAAACAAAGAAGGATGTGAGTCGGGCGCAGTAGGTCATTACATAATTGAATTTAATATAAAATCCATTTAAATTAAGTAATTATATAACCCATTAGTAAAACAGAAAAATGGAGGCGCATTTACTTTTATCCCTTTTTTTGTCCTTTTTTAAAATTTTTTGTCCTTTTTTTCCCTGTTTTTTTTGGCTTATCTGTCCTGTTTTTCAAGCTGAGTGATGGCAGCACTGGTCCAGATTCCCTTGACGCATCCACCACTTATCATCCATCGACTAACCTGCGATCGTGCGTCAGCGGGCGACAATTAAATAGATTGAATGCGGATTGCGACGATTTATGACCCCAGGCAGCGGCACTTGGCACTTGGCATTTGCAATTGATTGTCGTGTTGCCCAATTAAACTTATTGCGGGCCGAGAGTAAATGAAATGTCAAATAAGTTAATTAAGCAACACGAGATGGGAAGTGGGAAATGGGATATAGTATACGGCATAGGACGAGCCTCCGTTACGGGGGCGTGTTGCCCCGATAAGGAATGATAATGGTGATAACACCCGATGACCTTGTTGCATCAGCAACTAAGCTACTCGGCGACTATCTCAGCTGCACAGCGAGAAAAGTCCTGATAAGATACGGTGCCGTCATCGAAAGTTTCTTGCAAACGATCAAAAGCTATACATATCTGATGATATGATATGATTAACCGTTAGTAAATGTACTTTAAATTGTTCATTATAAAAATTCCAGCGATTGTTAAACGATTACTTTTAAGTTGCGGTGTGTAAGGAATTAGATGATAAGATTGCAGTGCCTTTAGCTGCACTCAAGGCATTTAGTGCTTATAACTGAACGCTTTTTAATTATTGTTATAAATTTAAAGCAACTAAATTGTAGTTCTGACTAAGGGTTGTTGAAATAGAACTAGCTTACAATAAAATAGTATTTACAGAAATATTATACTATTTTTTGTGATAATTTCATAGAATAAATAGATCAATTAACAAATTCAAATCTAACAGTTAATTAATTAAATACCTTTTACGATAGATCTTACAAATATAACTTTCTATCTCACGAGTCGTGATCATTTTAAAGGTAATAATAAGTAGTTTCTGGTAATTCTGTATCAATAATTATCA